TAAGTTGTACTCTTGGTACTATTTACCAACTTCTGTTCACAGGGTGTTAATGCACGGAGCGGAAACAATAGGTGCATTTAAAATTCCGATTGGGCAGTTATCTGAGGAAGCACAGGAGGCCAGAAATAAAGATATAAAAAATTATCGATCAAGCTTTTCAAGAAAAACCTCAAGAAAAGATAACTTACAAGATATGTTTAGTCGCCTCCTTGTTTCCTCCGACCCTGTAATTTCTAGTTTACGTAAAACACCCGCTAAAGCAAAAAAAGTCTTTTACCTGAAGCTGTAGCTTTACTTAATTCGCCAAAAGTTGATGACAATTTTTTAAATTTACCTGAAGCAATAAGCTCTTCAGATGAAGATGATAATTAGAGATAATTGTTGTAAAAAAAATGTGTTCATATAGTGACTATTCGTAATGTTTAATTAATTTTAACCTTTACAACCATGTAGGTAAATAAATAGTTCTTAGATACATTTATTATATATCGACTTTTTTAACAATTAAAAATAACTTGAATTTGAAAGTAAGATTTTTTTCTAACTCTTGTTTGTGTCACCCTGTATAATAAAGGGCACTCTCAAAATAAATTTAAAACATTTAAAAGGTTAGTTTAGGCAAATTATGAATACAAATTTAATTTTTACATACAATGGCTATGTAAATCAATTTATAGCACGTTTATGTCAAATTCGACCAGTGTGCGGCGCGCCGTCCCATTGTGTTTCACTCTTAAGGCTCATTTAGACATGCTAACTCGGCCGAGTAAATTGCGCGCGCATTTACTCGCAAGACATTTGATGTTTAGACATGCTAGTCCACTTGCTTGCTAAATCGCATGCGAGGTCAGTTTGAAATAATTGCAATATAGATAAACTTGTAACTAACTGCATTGAAAAATGTATTTATAACATCACAATCATTGTGTACGAGGAAAATTTTAGTACGAAAAGAAGAAAAATATTGAAAAAAAAAGAATTTGGGTCAGATAGTAGGTCGATCTAATTTCTTTTTATTTTATTTTTTACATCTTGGATAGTAAAACGATAAAAAAGTAACAGATTCTAGTAATATTTTATATGCAGGATCCCTTGTTTGTTTATTTTTGTAATCGTTGCATGTTATATTTCATAAACATTCTTCATTAATATAATGCTCTATAAAATCAATTGTATTTGTTTCACTCCACTTAACAATAATTTTTATGTATTTTATTTATAACTAAAGATATTATATAAACTTAAAAACAAATTCCACAACTCGCAGAAAATGTGCTAGTGCCTATTTACACCTGCCAGTGGCATTGTTTATTTTAACCCTCACTCCTTACTAGCACGAAAAAGTAGAGTGTTGCCCGAGTCAGCTCGCACGTCCCATGTACTAGTACCATTGGGTGTTTACAAATATTGTTTCTGGACGAGTGGCTTGCTAGTAAAGTACTCGGCCGAGTTGACTGGCATGTCTAAATGAGCCTTTAACTATGATTTCGCGAAAGAATCGAACGATCGATTTACAACACATCTCAGATTTTTTTTTAATTTTAATATTTTGTTTATACATACATCCAATTTAACACTAAATCTAAAATTTTTCTTTTATCTGACTTAAACTTTAGCTCCTAGAAACTATTTAATTTTGCCTTTTACAAAAAGGCCAAATTCTATTATTTTGGCATACATTTTTTATTAAAATACTCAATGATTTGAAATTTGGCCCATGTATGACCCCTATTAGTACCTACAATTGTGTCAAAAAAAAGTTTTAATTTTTTACATACAGGTGGCGCTGCATTTTTTTTTCTTCGAAAGTAGACGTTTTTTAAAGACAAAAAATTCTCTTAAGCAACAATGCTCAAAAAAACTAAATAGCGTACCAGATAATATAGATATTCCTTTATAATTCGACATATAAAAATTTACTTGCAAATGATGTTGCCGCCCGTAAAGCCAACTTAAAGTTTGGTCTACCGCATTAAAAAAAATTGAATTACACTTTCAACTCTATCCTTATTTTTAAACTAAGGAACTCCAGGTGATGGCTTTTATTGGTAACTAAAACGCAACAAAAAAAAAGTTTTATTTTTTTAAATACAGGGGGCGCTGCAGCCTTTTTTTCAAAAATAGACGTTTATAAAGACCATAAAGTTACTTAAGCAACATTGCTTAAAAAACTAATGACATTATTTATAATGTATCAGATAATATAGATATTCTTTTATTGTTTGACATATAAAAATTTATTTGCAATAATTAATGCCTGTTGTAGGGACGATTAAAATTATAACTAGTGCACGTACCCGCATATTGTTATATAAACGCCTTTTTTCGCTTTTATTGTTGTATGCGGACAAAAGGTAACAAAACCAAAGAAATTTGAATTACAAATGGTAACAAGTATTTCAGTGACTCTATAGTAATAGTAATAGTAATATGACCATTTGTTTAAATATATTTTAGTATATTTCGAGAGGCAAAGCATTCTTTATTATCGTACTTTAAAATTAAACTAAAGTCTAGCCTATAGGCTGGGAATCAAGTTACCCCAACAGTTGACAGTTACTGTCAAACGGTAACCATAATAACATTTAAAATTTTGCCGTTATTACAAAAGTTGAAATTGGAGAGGGAAAATGTCATGCTTTTAAAGGTACGCAAAGTTAATAAATTTTCTTTAAGTAAATCAAAATTCTAGGAATTGAATTTTCTTCTGGAGTAAACATGAAAGTTCCTTGGACATCATCGAAGTCGACAAAAGGAAAATCTAAATAATTTAAAAGCAATTAAATATAGGTGCGACGAATTACTTTGCAGTAGGGTTTTTGAAAATGAAGATGATCTTCTGACCACCTTAAATTTCAAAATCATAAATTTCCTGAAATTAGACAAACTATAGGTGATGTTGCTAGAATGGAATTTTTAAAACAAAAAGATGTTTTAACTAGTTCAACAATATCTACCGTCAATATATGCCCAAAGAAGAAGATAAAAATACGTTTTTTCGAGTATATGCAAAAGGGTTCGGAAGGCGCAAAATTAAAAAATCACGTTTTAATGAAAAACAAAAAGATTTTGTTGGCAACCTTTTTGAAGAAGGTGAAAAAACTAAAATTAAATATACGCCTGAATATATAGCAACAGCTTTACAAAATTATGAAGTAAATGGCAAATTTTAGTTTTCTTCAAACGAGTATATGCATTCTAATCAGATACGGGGCTTATTATCAAGATAATCGTCAGATAGAAGGTTAAACAAAAATAGAAAAAGAAAATAAAAAATTGCCGGAAGAAATTGAAGAAATTAGCCCAGAAGCGGATGAAGTTTTTTGAAGTTTTATGAGTTTTAAAGTAGTTCCTTTGCGGCCTAAGTAACTTTTAAGTTATAAATAACCCTGGTTAAAATCTCTAGACTGATTCTGAGAATCGCTCTAGAGATTTGAACCAGCCAGTATGATATAAACCAGGGTTATTTATAACTAAAAAGTTAGCGAATTTACCCCCTAGAGCCCAACAAGTTTAAAATTTAATGTAAAGGTAATAATTATTATTATTATTATAATAATTATTAGGATATATCTTTATTATTTAATATATGCAAATCTTGCAGATAAATTGTTATATGTTAAATAATAAAGAAATAGTAATATCAATAATAATAATAAAGAAAAACATAATAAATAAAATAAAGAACAAACCTATTAAATAAATAAAGGAATACGTAACTCTTTATAATAAAGGAATACATAACTATATTATCTGAAATGCTATATAGTTTTTAAAGAAAAAAGGCTGCAGCGCCCCCTGGGTGTGAAAAAATAAAACTTTTTTTTTGCTGTGTTATTGTTACCAATAAAAGTAATCTCCTGGAATTCCTTAGTTAATAAATAAGAATAAAGTTGTAAGTGTAATTCAATTTTTTTTAATGCGGTAAACAAAACTTTAAGTTGGCTTTACGGGCGGCAACATCATTTGCAAGTAAATTTTTATATATCAAATTATAAAGGAATATGTATATTATCTGGTATACTATTTAGTTTTTTTTAGCATTGTTGCTTAAGAGAGTTTTTGGTCTTCAAAAAACGTCTATTTTTTAAGAAGAAAAAATTGCAGCGCCACCTATATGTAAAAAATTTAATTTTTTTTTGGTAGAATTGTAGGTACTAATAAGGGTCATTTATGGACCACATCTCAAAACATTCAGTATTTTAATAAAAAAATTATGCTAATATAATGAAATTATTGCTTTTTGCGAAATGTAAAATTAAATGGTCTCTGGGAGCCAAAGTTTAGGTCAGATAAAAGAAAAATTTTAGATTTAGGGTGGAATTAGATGTATAAACATAATATTAAAATATAAAAAAAATCTGAGATGTGTTATAAAAAAATACCCCAAAATCGTTCGATTCTTTCGCGAAATCATAGTTAAGCATTAACGCACTTGTCAAATTTGTGACAGCAGAAATTTGTCAGTATCCAAATAAACAAGTGTTGCCATGGTTACATAAAAATTTAGATAAAGAAAATCTAATTTCATATTAAAAAAGTTTTCGACCGACAAAAATATACTGAGAATAAGGAAAATATTGAGGGGGGGGGCAAGTTTAAGCGAGATACCCACCGTCTTTATCGGAATCGGAACCAATTTTAATACTGCACCCTTATAAAAAAGTGCTTATCTACATGTAAATACAAAATAAAATATAATGTATGTATTATAAATACCCACGTTCTTCCTAAGAAAACTCGGCATAATTGATGCCACTGTCCTGGTTCAATGCCGTAACTGTGTAGATGCGCTTTTTTAAGTTTTTATAGTATCTAACGCATGTTTGCAAGTTTTTTTCAGCCGACGGAAAAATCAGGTTCGATTTAGTCTAAAACGGCAATTGCAAATTTCGTACAAACGCATATCGTTTAATTTCTTGGCTCAACTAAAAATGTAGATACCCACTTTTTATTAAGACGGCAGTATAAGCCACTACATCGATTTTTATTATATTTAGGTTCGTTTCAAGATGGACGACTCCACGACATTAAGCGATCTACTGGAATTAAATCTGCACAATTACGAGGAAGAGGTAAAAACAATTGTGGACAAATCAGTTAAGGAAATGGCGATGGAGAAAATCCTTAAGGAAATAAACGCAATTTGGTCTGTAAACGAGTTTGACTCTGAAACCCATGAACGAACTAAAATCAAATTAATTGTTGTTTCTGAAGAAGTGATCGAAAATTTGGAGGAACATCAGGTGGCTTTGCAGAACATGATGACGTCAAAGTTTATAGACTTCTTCTTTGACGAGGTGTCGGATTGGCAGAGAAAGTTGTCCATTGCCGATACGGTCATTTCGGTTTTTAGCGAAGTCCAAAGAAAATGGAGATACTTAGAAAGCATATTTATTGCTTCCGAAGATATAAGAAGTCAATTACCTGAAGATTCCCGCAGGTTTGATAAAATCGATAGGGAATTTAAAGAGGTTCTAAACGAAATGTTGAGAAATCCCAAAATCATAAGTTCGACGAATGCACCAGGACTCCCCGATAAATTGGACAGCTTATTTAACGATTTGACGCTGTGCGAAAAAGCCTTAAACGATTATTTGGAAACGAAGCGTTTAGTATTTCCAAGGTTTTACTTCGTATCGTCGTCCGATTTGCTGGACATTCTCTCCAACGGAAACCAACCGGATTTAATCCAACGCCATCTCACTAAACTGTTCGACTCGTTGGCCAAATTGAAATTCATCCAGGAAGGCGGCAAGAATTCTAAGAGGGCCAACGGAATGATATCCAAGGAAAACGACGAACATGTCACGTTTACCGTTATTTGCGATTGCACCGGCAAAGTGGAGGTCTGGCTGAACCGCGTTATTGATACGATGCGTATAACTCTGCACGCCACCTTTGCTTCTGCTGTCAAAACTTACGAGGATAAGCCCAGGGAGGCTTGGATTTACGATTATCCGGCCCAACCGGCCCTCTGTGGTAAATGCCTACACGGTCTTTAAAGTTTAATTATTATATATTATAATAATCATATTCCATATATTTATTTAACACCTGTAAGGAATATGTAATTTCGTGGACTTGCTGAGAATGGGCGAAATAATGAAGTAGTCCGTACGTTGAAGTAAGCATTAAGTTAAAACTGAAAAAAGTGAGTTTAAAACTGTTGTTAGATGTCATATGAAATATCAAATAACTAAAGTAACTTTAAATTTCATGCGGTAGTTAAATAAAATATTGTGGGCGACTATTGGCCAAAAGAGAAGATTCCACTTGCGTGTTACCACGCTAGAATAATCTCCTCTTTTTTCCACCAGTCTCACAATATATTATTAATTATTATTTTGATTAATTACACGACACTTTCTAAGAATTCTATGTTGTTTTTAGGTCAAAACAACATAGAATTCTTAAAAAGTGTCGTGTAATTAATCAAAATAATAATTAATTATATATTGTGCGAGATTATTCTACCTATAGGTAAACTCTTGAAAATCACAGCTAAAAGCTCGGACACGTAATAGTTATTTACGTGTCAAGCTTTGTAAATGAACCTGCACGGGCAAGCTGGAAGTTTGTGGGTTGAGCGACGCTGGAGCGAACCCATAATCCATTGAGCTTTGTAAAGATTAATTGCATAGCGTGACGCGTACAAACTTTTATTTTCACCTTTAGATAACGATTTTCAAATTTTAAAATTTCAATTAATGTGTCAAATGTGTCATTTCATTTCATAAATTGCTTTTTCTACAAGCCTGTAAAATATTACAGGTCTGTTTCCATAATGTATCGTTTACTTGTATACAAAAACAATAAAATGTAATTTACTAAGAAGGTGGAAATAAACATAACTTGTTGGTCGTTAATTTCAAATCCTCGGTTTAGCTGTATCAGGTCTAAAAAAGTTTTTTCTATTGGCAATCCGATCCGGGTACACACTATACTGGTATATTAAAATTTGTAAAATAATATATTTCACCTCTTGTGCCAACATTCCTAATCTTTTTATTTCGTTAATATAATATAACATTATTAATATAATTTAATATCCTCAATAATACTTAATACAAAAATATCAGCAAAAAACATTTTCCTAAGTTATATAAAAAACCCTCAGGGACACGTGTTCATTTTGATGAATTAACCTTAAGTTTTACAAGAATGTTTTTTTTTATTTGGAACTGCTGGTCCAGCCCAATTGATTTTTATTTTAAATTTATTCAGGGTGTTTTAAATTTATTCAGGGTGTTTTCTGCTCCTAAACTTGAAAATTAAATACCTTTGAATTTTGATCTGATACAGCTAAATCAAGCACGGATTTTCAATCTACTACCAAAAATTAAGTTTACGTGTCCGTTTAGCTGTGATATTTTCACCTCCCTAGAGTGATATTATTGTTGTTATTTATTTAGGAACTCAAATAGCTTGGACGAGCGAGGTAAATGTTGCCTTTGCAAAATTGGAAGAGGGTTACGAAAACGCCCTAAAAGATTACCAAAGAAAACAAATAACGCAGCTTTCAAACTTAATTACTATGTTACTAGCCGATTTATCTGCTGGCGATCGTCAAAAAATCATGACCATTTGTACGATTGACGTGCACTCGAGAGATGTGGTGGCCAAAATGATCGTTATTAAGGTGGAAAACTCGCAATCGTTTCAGTGGCAAAGCCAGCTGCGTCACAGATGGGACGAAAAAATCAAAGATTGCTTCGCGAACATCTGCGACGCTCAGTTCAGATATTCGTACGAGTATTTGGGAAATACGCCGCGTTTAGTCATCACACCTTTAACCGATCGTTGCTACATCACTCTAACGCAGAGTTTACACTTGATAATGGGGGGCGCTCCTGCTGGCCCCGCAGGAACAGGCAAAACCGAAACCACGAAGGATCTCGGCAAAGCGCTCGGGATGATGGTGTACGTGTTTAATTGTTCGGAACAAATGGACTACAAGTCCATCGGCAACATTTACAAGGGATTGGCGCAGTCCGGCTGCTGGGGATGTTTCGATGAATTCAACAGAATTTCCATCGAAGTGTTGTCTGTCGTTGCCGTGCAGGTCAAGATCATACAAGATGCCATTAAGTACAAGAAGCAGAGGTTTTTCTTCCTGGGACAAGAAATTGTCTTAATACCAACTGTAAGTAAATACAATCGTTAGAAATACTAGTTTGTTTATTAAGTTCATGATCCAACAAAAAAAAATACATTTTATCTTCTAACATAATATAAAATCAATATTATTAGTCTCAACGCAGCCCTGAGAAGATATTTATAACTGAATTAGTACAATAATAAGTTATTATTAATAACTTTACTTTCCTATTACATGTATGAAAAAATAATCTACGCTCATGTACCCCTTATTTTGCAATAATGAGATACATGAGCGTAGACAATAAATCGATAAAAAAAATTTACCCTATTTAATTTATTTAATTTCCGCTTATGCGTTCGGATAAAAAATCTGTCTTCATATTAAGTTAATGTTTTTTAGTTTTTGTTAGAATATAATATACATAGTATATATACTCTTTTAAAATTAATTAGTTAAAAGTGACTAATTGTCATAGCGAAAAAGCAGCCACTAATAATTCTCGTCAACAGCAATTTGTATAATCATTTTAAGATATAGTCAATTTTCCATATAATATGGAATTGTCTATATCTAAAAAATTGCTCTAGTTTCATAATTCTTTAAGGTATTTTTAAATTATATATATATATATATATATATAGTTATAGTTATATATATATATATATATATAATATATATATATATATATATTATATATACTTAGGCAATTTCCCCCATCAAAAAGCAGTGCTAAATAAAAACAAGAAATTCACTTTTTTTCATGGTTTTGCTTTTCACTGACGCCTATATATTGTTTATTAATTGATGGAATGTGATTAAATTTTGACGGGAATTCAGTTCTTCTTAAAAATGGAGATATATTTTTATTTGTGGCACCATCTAGTTGTCAGGCCATGTACTTATTGAACGAACTAGTAAACTTAAATTGATCAATAAATGTTGGCGATTCAATGTGAAAATTACTTCCGTTTGCATAACCAATAACAGCGTGATCTCATATGTTCAATGCAATGAAATGTTTGTTCGATTAATTAACTACCATTAGTTACAGCTCGTCGAATAGTAATAACTTGCCTTAACGCAATTGAAATGGGTTGATTAATAATTATTAACTGTGCTAGTGGCAAAAATCAACAGAGGGGAGACATATGTGGTAAAGTCAATTCGAGTACGCTGAATCCAGTGGTGAAAGCCGTTTTTCGAAGTTAGCAAAAATAAGCGATTTTTTTCGATCGGCGTTTTTCAAAATGTACCATTTTATAGGTCACTTTTTAGATGTTTCGATTTCATTCAAAATGTGTTTTTAGGGGTTTTTGGGAACGAGAAAACCGAATATGACATTATTTTTGCGATGCGATCGCGATTTGACCAAAATTGGCATTTTTTAAAATTTCACTGAATTTATCTGACATATTTAATCCAATTCATAATCACAACACAAGAAATATCAATGATTTTTTTATTAACACTGCAGGGTCAGAGAAAAAAAACAATAAAACAAAGTTTTTATTGTAAATATTGACTACAGTCAACAGGTTTTAATACATTTAGCTAAATAAACGTATTATTTATTTATTTATTATTACAATCGTAAATAAGCTGGTTATTAAAAGTGATTTAAAATTTCATTTAAAATGGATTCTTGTGTTACAAGTTTTAATTGCTTTTGTTATATTTGTGGAAAATACACTATTATGGCAAATCGTCGTAAAATTAATGCGGAAATTATTGAAATATACCAGCTATACTTCGATCAAAATATTATTTGTGATGTAAAATGGGCTCCGTCTACTATTTGTACTGGGTGCATGGGAAATTTGAGTCAATGGAGAAAGGGTAAGATCGACTCTATGCCATTTGGTATTCCTGTAATCTAGACAAATCCGCAAGTTCACAATCCGGATGAATGTTATGTGTGCGTTAATTTCAAACCCGGAACAAACAGAAAAAAGACACGTTCTATGAAATATATAGCAACAAAATTTGTTCAGTTGCCATTGCCGCACTCGGAAAATGTTCCTGTACCGAAAAGACCGAGTCCAACAGCTGTATCTATATCCACAATATCCGAAACAGTTGAAGGAGGAAGTCATTTCGACTATGTGCCAACAAATGTCACTCCTGATTGCGATCATACCGAAATCACGCAGGATCGTCTTGACATTATTGCACGGCGACTGAAGTTATCGCAGCGACAGACAATTTTCTTGGCTAAAGAGTTAAAAACGTTAAATCTTTTAGCACCAGATGCTCGCGTTTATGGATCCATCGGCCGTCATCGCAATTTTACACGTTTTTTTAAAGCTATCGAAAATAATTCACTGGCTTATTGCGATGATATTCGTGGTTTGGTTTCCACCTTGCACAACGGATACAACCCGGAAGATTGGAAACTCTTCATTGATTCATCCAAAAGTAGCTTAAAAGCCGTTCTACTCCACATTACAAATTCAAAAAAATCCGTGCCACTAGCACAGATACAAAGGAAAACTATTTGTCATTGAACAAGATTCTCGATTTATTGAAGTATAATGAAAACAAATGGAAGATTTGCGCAGATTTAAAGGTTGTTTCTATTCTCTCTGGTCTGCAATTGGGCTACACGAAAAACATGTGTTTTATGTGCTTATGGGATACGCGCTACCGTGGTGATCAGTATGAAAAACGCGATTGGATTACACGCGAAGAAGTAAGATTGCGCAGACATAACGTTGTTGAGGTGCCACTTGTACAGGCCGAGAGAATTTTGTTGCCGCCATTGCACATCAAATTGGGTATCGTGAAATTTTTTATAAAAAAACTGGATCGTGAGGGCAATGCATTCAACGAATTACGGCGTATTTTTCCACGTTTGAGCGGAATGAAAATAAAAGAAGGTGTGTATATACAATACCAATTTAATTGTAATAAATTTCTATCCTGATTTTTTATGTATTACAGGGATTCTAAACGGTCCAGATATCCGCCGATTAATGCGAGACGAACAATTTAAAGCTGCGCTAAGTGATCTCGAGCTTGTAGCGTGGGACACTATAAAAGCCGTGATTAAAAACGTTCTTGGTGTTCATCGGGCGGAAAATTGGCAATTCACAATATGAATGTGAGATTCACTTCCTTCATTGTCATATTGACAAATTTGCGGAACAGTCACCGGCTGAATCGGACGAGCACGGCGAGAGGTTTCATCAAATGACAGCCAGATTGGAACATTGGTACAGTGGGAAGAAACTCGATGCACTTTTGGGAGATATTTGCTGGAATGTGCAGGAAGAACAGGATGATTAAAAAACATCTCAATAAAGAAATTTTGTTCAACATTAAATTTGGTTTTTGTTTATGTTTTGTGTCAAAAAAAAACCTTTTTGTGAGATAAATTCAGTAAAAGTTTAAAAAATGCCAATTTTGGTCAATTTTTACAATTTTTTTTACGGGAACTGCCTTAAATCATAATTTTATAGCAAAAATATTATCATATTCGGTTTTATCATACCCAAAAACCCCCAAAAACACATTTTGAATGAAATCAAAACATCTAAAAAGAGACCTTAAAAATAATCCATTTTGAAAACCGCCGATCGAAAAAAATCGCTTATTTTCGCTAACTTCAAAAAACGGCTATCACCACTGGATTTAGCGTGCCCAAATTGACTTTATCACATATGTCTCCCCTCTGTTGAAAAAAAAACTTGTCATTTTCGTGCACACTTAATTTTGTTATATTAAGTTTATATATTTACCTTACAGGTGGGAATATTTATAACAATGAACCCCGGCTACGCAGGCAGGACGGAATTACCGGAAAACTTAAAGGCGCTGTTCAGACCGTGCGCGATGGTGGTGCCTGATTTCGCGCTGATTTGCGAAATTATGTTGGTTGCTGAAGGCTTCTTGGACGCAAGGGTGTTGGCGACGAAATTCATTACTCTCTACACGCTCTGTAAAGAGTTGTTGAGCAAACAGGATCATTACGATTGGGGTTTGAGAGCCATAAAATCCGTATTGGTAGTGGCCGGTTCGTTAAAACGTGGCGACAGGCAGAGACCGGAAGACCAGGTGCTCATGAGGGCGCTGAGGGATTTTAACATTCCCAAGATTGTTACCGACGATGTTCCGGTGTTTATGGGTTTGATAGGCGATCTATTTCCAGCTTTAGACGTACCTAGAAAAAGAAATCCAGAATTTGAAAAAACAATAAGAAAATCCGCCGTTGATTTAAAGTTGCAACCGGAAGACGGATTCGTTTTGAAGATTGTACAATTGGAGGAGTTGTTTGCTGTGAGGCATTCCGTGTTCGTGATAGGCTTTACGGGCACCGGCAAATCCATGGTGTGGAAAACGCTGAACAGAACTTACCAAAACCAAAAACGTCGTCCTGTTTATAATGATTTAAATCCCAAAGCAGTGACAAACGACGAGTTGTTTGGCGTTATAAATCCTGCAACGAGAGAGTGGAAGGACGGACTTTTTTCCGTGATAATGAGAGACCAAACGAATATCCCTGGCGACGGTCCGAAATGGATCGTTTTGGATGGTGATATTGACCCCATGTGGATCGAGTCCCTTAACACTCTCATGGACGATAATAAAGTTTTAACTTTGGCGAGTAACGAACGCATTGCCTTAACGCATTCGATGAGGTTGCTTTTCGAAATCGCCAACTTAAGAACGGCAACACCAGCCACTGTATCAAGGGCCGGTATTTTGTACATTAACCCTGCCGATTTGGGTTGGAATCCATACATAGCTTCATGGATCGAAACGAGAATGATTCAAAGCGAGAAGGCCACTTTGATGATTTTATTTGACAAATACATACCTCAATGTTTGGATGCTATAAAGAAGAAATTCAAGAAAATTACGCCCGTATCGGATATTGCGCATTTGGAAATGCTTTGCCATTTACTGGATTGCTTTTTGATTCCGCAAAACGTGCCGAACGATTGCCCGAAAGACTGGTACGAGATTTACTTTGTGTTCTCCATAGTTTGGGCTTTCGGATCGACCTTGTTCCAAGATCAAATAGTCGATTGGCGAAACGAGTTCAGCAAATGGTTTACCAACGAATTTAAAACGGTTAAATTCCCGGTAGGCGGCACTGTGTTTAACTATTACATCGACGATGAAACCAAAAAATTTATGCCGTGGACAGACCTGGTACAACCGTTCGAGTTGGATATGGACATTCCTTTGCAAGCCACTTTAGTTAGCACCGCGGAAACCACAAGAATACGATTTTTCCTAGACCGCTTGATGGGCAAAAGGGTGCCTGTCATGTTGATTGGACCGGCCGGAAGCGGGAAAACCGTTATAATGCAGGAAAAATTGAACAGCCTGTCTGACGATTACGCTGTTACCAACGTACCTTTCAACTTTTACACAACTTCGGAAATGTTGCAAAGCATATTGGAAAAACCATTGGAGAAGAAAGCTGGCCGCGTGTTCGGTCCGACCGGTAACAAAGTGATGATTTACTTTGTGGACGACATGAATATGCCCGAAGTTGATAAATATTTTACCGTGCAACCTCACACTTTGCTCAAACAATACATGGACTACCAACATTGGTACGATCGTCAGAAATTGTCTCTAAAAGACATTCACAACATTCAATTTATATCCTGTATGAATCCTACGGCAGGTTCTTTTACAATTGACCCTCGACTTCAGAGACACTTTTGCTCGTTTGCAGTCAGCTTCCCATTGCCAGAAGCCGCTTATCACATCTACTACAACATTCTGTCGCAACACTTGGAAAACCCTGCCATGAAATTCCCCCATAGTCTATTAAAAATATGCCCTATGCTTGTAGCCGCCGCTCAAACTCTCCACGCTAAGGTCGCGTCTTCCTTTTTACCAACCGCAGTCAAATTTCACTACACCTTTACGCTGCGCGATCTGTCGAACATATTCCAAGGTATGCTGTTTGCGAACGGCGTCGCGATCCTCAATCAAAGCGAATTAATTCGGTTGTGGATGCACGAAGCTAGTCGCGTTTACGGCGACAAATTGGTCGAACCAATTGATCAGAAAACGTTCGACAAACTTCTACAGGAAACTGTTAAGAAGGGTTTCGAAGAGTTGGATGATAATGCGGTGTTTGAGGAACCGCTGATCTTCTGTCATTTTTCGCTTGGTATAGGAGATCCCAAATACTTTCCCATGTCAGATCAGGCTCACTTAAACAAATTATTATTGGAGGCTTTGAGTGGTTATAACGATTTGGTTGCCGCTATGAATTTGGTATTGTTCGATGATGCCATGGATCATATTTGTAGAATTAATAGAATTTTGGAGTCGCCTAGAGGTAATGCTTTACTGGTTGGGGTAGGAGGTTCTGGAAAGCAATCTTTAACAAGATTAGCCGCATTTATATCTTCTTTCGATGTATTCCAAATACAATTGAAAAAAGGATATTCCTTGATGGATATGAAAACAGATATAGCTGCTTTGTATTTGAAATCAGGACTAAAGCAAGTTGGTATTGTGTTTTTAATGTCGGATGCGCAAGTGCCGGAAGAAAAGTTCTTGGTGCTTATCAACGACATGTTGGCATCGGGCGAAATAAGCGACCTTCTTCCGGACGAGAACGTTGAAAACGTAATAAACGCAGTGCGAGGGGAGGTGAAAGGCATCGGTCTTCCGGACACCCGCGAAAATTGTTGGAGGTTCTTCATCGACCGCGTTAGAAGGCTTCTCAAAGTGGTGTTATGTTTCTCGCCGGTCGGATCAACTTTAAGAGTGCGAGCGAGAAAATTCCCAGCTCTGGTTAATTGCACTTCGATCGATTGGTTTCACGAATGGCCCAAAGTTGCTCTCGAATCCGTATCGAAGAGGTTTTTGGGCGAAATCGAGGTGCTCCCTCAGGAGTACGTCGAATCCATATCGATATACATGTCTACCGTGCACACTTCGGTCAACGAAATGTCCCAGGTGTATTTTTTAAATGAGAAGCGTTACAATTACACCACTCCAAAATCGTTTTTAGAACAAATCGCTTTATATTCGAAACTCCTCACTGACAAAACCAACATAATATTGCACAACATTTATCGGCTCGAAAATGGTCTGGAAAAAATATCTAGCGCAAAAGAAGAGGTGGATTCTTTGAAGGATGTACTGGCAGTGCAAGAAGTGGAACTGGATAAAAAGAATGAAGCTGCTGGTAAACTGATTGCAGTTCTAAGCGCCGAAAATGAAAAAGTGGCTGCGGAACAAGCGATAGCAGCTGAAGAAGAAGCAAAAGTAAAGGTAATCGAAGAAGATGTAACGGTTAAAGCCAAAATATGCGCCGAAGACTTGGAGAAAGCCGAACCTGCTCTTATAGCTGCACAAGCAGCATTAAACACTCTTAATAAGAATAACCTGACTGAAATGAAATCATTCCCGAATCCACCCGAAGCTGTGGTGGATGTTTGTTCGGCCGTTGTCGTCTTGTTTTCTCCTAAAGGAAGAGTTGCCAAAGATCGAAGCTGGAAAGCTGCGAAACAATTAATGGGACGAATTGATACTTTCCTTGACAACTTAATCAACTACGATAAGGAAAATATGAGTGCCGATGTTGTAAAGGCCGTATACGAGTATACAAAAAGTCCGGAGTTTGATCCGGAAAAAATTCGAACCAAATCTTCGGCCGCGGCGGGATTGTGCTCTTGGGTTATAAACATTCTTAAATTCTACGATGTTTTTGTCGTTGTGGAGCCTAAACGAAAGGCTTTGCAAAAGGCTAATCAAGATTTGAGCGACGCTCGTAAAAAACTAGCGGACTTGAACCAAAAATTGACGGAATTAGAAAACAAACTGGCCATTTTAAGGGCAGAATTCGACACGGCTATCGATGCCAAGCTAAAATGCCAAGCGGAAGCCGACGCCACGGCGCTGAGTATCGATTTGGCCAACAGATTGGTCAACGGTTTGGCCTCTGAAAATGTAAGATGGCGGGAATTAGTCTTGACTTATAAGGAGAACATCAAAACACTACCCGGCGATTGCCTGATTGTAACCTCCTTTATTTCGTACGTGGGTTGTTTCTCAAAGAAGTACAGAACAGACTTGATGGTTAAGTCGTGGCTGCCGACGCTAAAAACCTTACCGTTGACCATACCGATGTCGGAAACGGTGGATCCTTTGATGCTTTTAACAGACGACGCTCTGATAGCGGAATGGAATAACCAGGGACTTCCGACCGACAGAATGTCTGCTGAAAACGCCTGCATTTTGGTGAACTCGTCTAGATGGCCTCTGATGATCGATCCGCAACTTCAAGGCATTAAATGGATCAAAAATAGATACGGGGAAGCGTTAAAAGTGGTCAGAACAACGTTTAAGAACTATCTGGATATCATCGAGACGTGCATAGCTGAAGGTCATACGTGCTTGTTGGAGAATATAGGAGAAACGCTGGAGGCGGTGCTAGATCCTTTGTTGGGTCGCGTGTTGATTAAAAAAGGAAAGTGCATTAAAATTGGAGATAAGGAAATCGATTATCATCCAGATTTTAGATTAATTATGCATACAAAGTTAGCCAATCCTCACTATAAGCCTGAAATACAGGCACAAACAACGATTATCAACTTTACGGTAACCAGGGATGGTTTGGAAGATCAATTGTTAGCTGAAGTAGTTAAAGCTGAAAGACCGGATTTAGAAGAGTTAAAATCTTCTTTAACAAAGCAGCAAAACGAATTTAAAATAACTTTGAAGCGTTGCGAGGACAATTTGCTAAACAAGCTATCATCAGCCACTGGTAACATATTGGGCGACGTCGAGTTGGTGGAAAATTTGGAAACCACCAAACGAACCTCGAGCGAAATTAAGGAAAAAGTTGACGAAGCCAAAATAACGTCGGTTAAAATTGACGAGGCCCGCGAGCAGTACAGACCATGCTCGTGCCGAGCCTCCATCTTGTATTTCGTTTTGAACGATTTATGTCGCATTAACGCAATTTATCAGTTCTCGTTGCAAGCGTTTAGTGTGGTGTTTAAAGACGCATTGGCGCGAGCCGAACCCGCCGAAAAACTTAAAGATAGAGTGACGAATTTATTGGATAGCATCACTTTTATGGTGTACATGTACACGTCTCGCGGCCTCTTCGAGAGGGATAAATTGATATTTAAAGCCCAAGTTATGTTTCAAATTTTGTTGAATGCGGAAGAAATAAATCCGGAGGAGTTGGATTTTTTATTAAGATTCCCCGTTATTGGTGGCATGGTTTCGCCTGTTGATTTTCTAAATAACACATCGTGGGGTGGAATTAAAGCGTTATCATTGCTTGACGAATTTAAAAATTTGGACAAGGATATAGAAGGTGCAGCGAAACGATGGAGGAAATTAACTGACAGCGAATGCCCGGAAAAGGAAAAGTTTCCAGGGGAGTGGAAGAACAAAAACACACTGCAAAAATTGTGCATAATGCGAGGTTTGCGACAAGACAGAATGACGTATGCGATGAATGCGTTTATTGAAGAAAAAATGGGTATTAAATACATTACAGCAAGAAGCGTGCCGTTTGAAAAGTCTTACGAAGAAACGAGCGCGAGTATTCCGGTGTTTTTCGTTTTGTCTCCCGGCGTGAATCCTTTGAAAGACGTTGAAAAACTCGGTCAAAAATTGGGATTCACTTTTGACAACAACAACTTTCACAGTATCTCCCTTGGTCAGGGCCAAGAAATCGTAGCCGAAAATGCTATGGATATGGCTGCGGAACAAGGCCAGTGGGTCATTTTGCAAAATATTCATTTGGTCGTCAGGTGGTTGGCAACATTAGAGAAGAAAATGGAGCAATGCGCCAGCGGACATCGCAGTTACAGGTTGTATCTTAGCGCGGAACCTAATGCTAACCCCATGGAATGCGTTATCCCGCAAGGAATATTGGAATGTTGCATTAAAATAATAAACGAACCACCCACCGGCATGTTTGCCAATTTGCACAAAGCCTTGGACAATTTTAACCAGGAAACTTTGGAGATGAGCTCTAAAGAATCAGAATTTAAGGCCATTCTGTTTGCTTTGTGTTATTTTCATGCTGTTGTTGCCGAACGAAGAAAATTTGGACCGCAAGGCTGGAACAGGAATTATCCATTCAACATCGGAGATTTGTCTATAAGCGTTAATGTGCTTTACAATTATTTGGAAAATAATAATAGGGTATGTTAATGATTATATCTGTACCCTCTAGACAAACTGAATAAAGTACAACTTTTTAAAATGACGTTATATTTTTTGCCTACATTTTTCCGCTCTTTCCAATGGTAAATAGGATTGTCCTGGCTCACTTGGTTTTTGATATATTAAAAAACTAAGTAAGCCATTCAATCCTGTTTATCATTGGAAAGAGCGCAAAAATGAGGGCCAATAATGTATGTGATTTCAAAAAAATGGACTTAATACAGTTTGGCTCTGGGGTACAGATATATGCTTTGGTCATCACTACTATAGTATGTTATTTTAGGTTCCATGGGAAGACTTAAGATACTTATTTGGCGAAATAATGTACGGAGGTCACATCACCGACGACTGGGACAGACGATTGTGCCGCAACTACTTAATGGAATACATGAAAGCGGAATTAATCGAAGGCGATATGTTTTACGCTCCCGGATTTATGGCGCCCCCCAATACCGATTACGTAGGCTACCACCGATACATCGACGACCGTTTGCCACCTGAAAGTCCCTACTTGTACGGCTTGCATCCAAATGCCGAGATCGGATTTCTATCGAACATCAGCGAACAAATGTTTCGAACGATTTTCGAGATGCAACCGAGAGATGCTGGAGTTTCTGCGGGCGGTGGAATGTCGCACGAAGACAAAGTTCGCGGCGTGATTGAGGACATAATCGACAAATTAGGGGAACGGTTTCGCGTAAGAGAAATGATGGCCAAAGTTGAAGACAGAACTCCTTATATTATTGTCGCCTTTCAAGAATGCGAACGAATGAATAACTTAACAGCCGAACTGAGAAGGTCCCTCACTGAGCTTGAGCTCGGATTGAAAGGTACTTTTAGTAATTTTTTGTATTGGATTCAATATCCAATAGGGTACCAAGAAAATTTAATTGCCCAAGGACAATAATGGATTAAAAAAAACCTTCTCAATTAAAATAGTATATTCTGTAACAAGTTTGGAATACAGCGGAATATGCAATTCCAAACGTGTTTCAGACTATACTTTTTCTACGCTTATAAAAAATTCCAGAGAAATAATTTAATTGGAAAAAAGTTAGGTTATCTTTTGACAGATGTTAGATTTTATGATGGTAGTAAATAAGATAATTTTTAAATAAGCTTATAAAAATTACTTACATAATTTTGCAGAACCTAAATTAGGAAGTATAAAGAAGTAATAAACTTTTTTTATTTTTTAGTATTTACATGTATTGTAATATGATCAATAGTACAGTTTTTTGAAAGGTTAAATTTGGGGCAATATTTAAGTTTTCTTTATTTACTAAGGAATTTAAATTCAAAGCTGCAGTTAAAGATTGAGATGATCCTGGGTTTGATGCTTCAATTTCAGTAATATGAGACATTAGTTTATTAGACACATCTAATCTACTGGATAAAGAATTGTCAATATAACATTCTCAGAAAGAGAAGTCGTATTTTTACTTTTACGCCAGTCCATAAATTGTTTATAAATTTGCAGATAAACTTCTTTGGACTTCGCAGGTAGTAAATCTAGCGTTGTTTGATTGGCCTTTTCAGTTAGTTCTGAAGGAGTGTTTTCAAACGGGTTTCTTCTTCATCAGTAGACATGGACATATTATTTAACGACGATATATTATTCAGAGATAAATATAGACAAATTTTAAGTAAATAAATGGACAAATTGTAAGGAATGACAAATAAGTTATTATTTGAATTTCAAATTTTGAATTAAGTAATGACAGACGTAAGCAATTAACCAGTGCTGCCATCTCTTTGGGACTAAGTCAAACCTAAATATTCTAATAGAATCCTACTAAATCGGCCAAACAGAATTACAGCTAGCTTGTAAAGAAGATATATTTTGGGTATTTTTATTAACGCACACTGTTTTAAATCCTATTGTATACTACCGATTAATATTTTCTACCGGGCCTTTCTGAAAAAACTAGATTTGGTAGGAATACAAGTAAGTTATAAAATAAACATAGAGATGTCGCCCCCAGTGCTCATTCCATCATTAGAACCTGTGCGGAATAATTATTCTGTAACACTTTATGGAATATACGTAATTCCAGATTAAAAAGTCATATAAGAACTGTCAAATTCCGTAATAAGCGTAGAAAAAAATCTTTAAATCCACTTAAGGATAAAATTCCAAAGACAGTAATATCTTGACATTAGTTATATCTTGCTTAAGTTGTTATTATGGATGGTAGAGAGGAGAACTTTCTGTGACATAGTCTGTGTATAAGTGTCCGTAAATAAAGTTATTTTAAAATAGCGTTAGTGCAGTTAAAGTCTTAAAGATGGCCGAGGGGGTGATCTAATCGTAGTTCTTAGTTATAATTTAGCTAAAATAACAGGAAACAAGAACAATCTGTTTAACGTATTATTATTATTATTATTTTAGGTGAATTAACTATTACTTCAGAAATGGAGGGTTTGGATGCAGAGCTGTTTATGGACGTGGTCCCTGTGTCATGGGCCAATAAGGCATACCCATCGCTGTTACCTTTGGGTCAATGGGTGGCCGATCTGACGCTGCGAATAAAAGAGCTTGAAAATTGGGTGATGGACTTTTCGATGCCGGCCGCTGTATGGTTGGGTGGATTTTTTAATCCGCAATCCTTTTTGACTGCCATCATGCAGCAAACTGCCCGTAAAAACGAATGGCCCTTGGATAAGATGTGTCTGATGACGGACGTTACGAAGAAACAAAAAGAGGATTTTACCTCGGCTCCTAGGGAAGGTGCTTACGTATGCGGACTCTTTATGGAAGGTGCAAGGTAAGTAATACAAAAATAAAAACATAAATCTGAACCCCGTCCCCCTCACATGATAAAAAACCAAAATAGCGTCCCTCGTGGTATCACTTTCTCGTACAGAATCGACTTTGTATACCTACTAGTGTTGCGACATACCTCTGCTTCCGCAGCTGAGAAATTTCTGCATACTTTTTTCACATCTGCTTCTGCATCTGGTTCCACATTTTTTATATCGGAAGCTTTTCAATTTTTTTTAGGAATAGCGAGGTTGACGATAAGGGCGTTTATTGACAGAATAGTATTTATACTCCCGCTTCTGCTTACGTATCCACGTTCGCATCCGTAATTACTATTGACCTATCGTTTCGCTTTTGTTCTGCAAACTTTCGTTGCATCATTAATACCTATAGGTCTTTTTTTATTTGAAGTTTAGTTGGCAAATTTTAGGGACCCTAAATTTATAATTGGCTACATTGAGTTAAACAAACTAGTGGAGAATAAAATTGTGGTTATGTTATTATTACATGAATAATATCACAATCCACACAACAAGGTCTGTTCTATCTCGTACTAAAAATACAAAAAATCACTGCAACACTGCACAGTTTAACGGCGGCCACTTTTGTTGTTTACAATTTCTGTGCTTTGGGTTTGTGCTCTGTTTATACAGATTAATAATCATTTTAAACGTTGTGTTCCTCATAGTAAGCCTTAAAAGAGTCCTAAGCTTAAAGTGCTAAGAACAACCATTGTAAAAAATAAACTTTATTCTATCAGGGCTGTCATAAAACTGTCAAATGTCAATTTTAAGGTTAAATTATAACCCACAAATTAACCTTCAAATATAATTCCACACTTTTTATTCATTTCTGCTATAATTTACTAACGATCATCACCCTCTCTCTCGCTCTTACTCTCCTTAGCAGACTCCTCTAAATTGAAAACCACCAAATTTGAGGATCTTCTTATTCTTTCGTTCACTTCATATATTAACTCCTCTTGGCCAGCTCCCAAATACCTTTGGCTTTCCAGAGAAGAACCCTTTCAGAAAGCTCCTAATTTTGTTTTCTTAACTCCTTATTTGTCCTTAATGATCCTGTCTAGTTGATTAACTAAACCATCCAGCTGAGCCTTAAACATGTTACCAAGCTCGACCTTGAATTCAGCCAATCTACTAGTTATTAATACTTCAATGGAATACGTTCTGTTGACCCTTATTTGCGGTGTTAACCGCTAAATCCTTACACACTTGGCAGATCCGTCTAACCCCTTCAGACCTCTTTTCTTCCTTAGCCAAGAAGTTCATCGACCTTAACACATTTACCATGGAAACAAATTTCGCATTACAGTTTACAGTCACCACAATTATACATTTTCTTTGACATTTAAAGTGTATTTCAATACTCAGGAATGAAAAGAACTGTTTGTTATCAATGTAAACCTCTTAATCCGTACTCAAATAAAATAAAAACGCAAAATAATTTCGTTAAATAATTTAGAGTATTTCTAGGTAAATCTTCATTTTTTTTTCAAAAGAGGAGTAAAATAGTTGCACCTAGCACAAAAAGGCCTCTTTTAAGGCTTTCAAGTGCCTCTGTAAGACAAGAATTGTAAACAACATAAAAATGGCCGCCGTTAGAATCTGTGCAGTGGGTTGCCTAACTTTGTGATTTTTAGTATGCTCCAAACGAGAGTGAACATACATTGTTGTGTGGATTATGACCTTTGATTAAATATAGGTGACTTTACGGCCCAAAAGAGGCAAATTTGCATTATTATGTTTATTATAATTCTGACAGTTGAAGGACAAATGTAAAAGTATTTAAAATTAAGGGACAACAGGAGGACCAATTTTAAAAATTAAATATTAACATACAATACAAACGTAATCAAATGTGTCATTTCCGAATACAAAAGAACGAACTATACTTTTATCTCTTAAACTGATTTATCCGCATTGTAGGTATATTTCCTTGTTGCAGGTGGGACACACAGCTGAACAGCATTGCAGATTCAATATTAAAGGAGCTGTTCCCTGTAGTGCCGGTCGTTTATATAAAGGCCATAACGTCCGACAAACAAGATACGAAGAATATGTACGACTGTCCAGTGTACAAAACAAGAATGCGAGGTCCGACATTTGTATGGACATTTATGCTGAAAACGAAGGAGAAAGCGTCGAAATGGACTTTGGGCGGAGTGGCCATACTATTACAGATATAGGAGTTGTTGTTATTAGTTATTTTTATCGCTGAGATAAATATTTGTATCTCTTTATTTATTGTAATTGAAATGTAGACTTTTAGATGTATATTTTTTTAATTCACGTTTTATAAAAATATCAGTTGTTTCGTTTAATTTTAGTGGGCACGATAAATCGCCTTTTATAAAAGAAAGTGTAAGTATATAAAAGAAGTTGGGACAAAAACGAAAACAAATTGTATACTTTACAAACTTTTATCCTACATTTTTTTATTTAGATGAACCATCAATAATATTTTGTAATAAAGTTTTACAATATTAGTCTTAATAATTTTGTACTCAACCATCCCACATTTAGATTTGAATAAAAATGTAAGAATATATACTTAATATTACAATAAAACGTTAGATGTTAGTCTAAAGTTCGTTTAAATATAAAAGTACTTTGCCAAGTTTTAAATCAGATTTATTCGCAAGTACACTATCTTTGGAAATTCAAATATTTATTAGGTTATAAATCAATACCTCTTCTATTTATGTTCAGAATATTACTAATTTATTAACATTTTAACATTTGAGAAAAGGAGATTTTATCTAATACCTACCGAGTGAGTATTAAAACTTAAAAAATCTCTCATCTCCATGTTGTATTAGTGTTAACTGTTTGATTTGATTTTTTGCCTAGGTAAAAGGTATTTGCCATTGCGGCTTTAATATTTACTCTGTGTACTGAAATTTATCGCTGAACTGCATTTCATAGAACAATGCAGCAATATTTCAACATCTGAATAAAACAATTGTGCGCCGAATTTATTTTCATATCATCATTCAGCTTGCGGTTTCGATGCTGCAGTTAAACCTTGTAGAAAAAAACTACAATAAAATGTAAGCCTATTATTCTTTTTACAAAAAATAACAAATTCTGTTAGTGGTTTAACAATTTAATTTGACACAATTAGAAAAAACTTCCACAAAATTAATATATTATGTAAGTAACAAACAAGTTTAATAAACGAGCGAGTATTTAATAAAAACAAGTCTCTAGTGAAGTTTATAAAACGAGTTGCATACTATACTTTATCTACGACAAACATAAGATATTGTTTTTTAAATTAAAGTCAATCCATATGAGTCAATCTTATTTGTAAAACATTTGACATTTAACATCTGTAGAACGGTTTTAACCTCTCGGCTCGAAAGCCACTGTTGCTAACTTTAGCCCGTGAGTACCCTATTAGCCCGTGAATACCCTATTAAAAATGCCCCATATTGATCCAGATAAGGAAACTAATATGGATTTATATGGTTCTATAGAATCTATATGTCCTATATGGAACGACCTTTGAAATATATATGGTTTAATATGGAATTTCATTTTAAAATGTACAACTTAGGGATTTTTATATGGATTTATCTGGTTTCTTTTTTATGTGTCTTTCCATATAGGTTTCTCTATATGGTTGAATATGGAATTCCATTTTAAAATGTATATATATTTAAACGACAATTGCATATTAAACCATATAGATTCCCCTATATGGTTAAATATGGATCTATATGGTAATAATTTTTTCACACCCAAACCATATTGGGCCAGATAAAGCAATATGAACCTATATGGCAATCCATATAGAAATCACTTTTCTATATGGTTTTCCAGGTATGGAATTCTATCTGGTTCAATAGTGTAATGCCTGTTTCAAATTCCTATATTGAACCAGATAGATTTTTATTTTGTGTTTCTATATGGCATTTTTAATAGGGTAAAACGCCATAGTCCCAGCTTGTCAATGTGGGAGTAGATAATAGGATATTAAAGAACTATATAGGTATAGACATTTTCTCGTAAAAAAAAATTAAATGAAGTCTTATAATGTCATAAGACGTCAATTTATTTTTTCTCACGAAAACAATGGACGAGTACGAGAAAATATCTATATATATATTTATAGTTTTAAAGGCCCCTATGACTTGGAGGCCCGGGGCTGTAGCCCTCTTAGCCCCCCCTTAATCCGGCCCTATATAATATATATATATATATATATACATGCACGGCTATCAATACGAAGCCCGGTGCATTACACTGGCTAGTCGAAGCCCGGTAATGCGGGACGGGGCGGTTAACTGTACGTTGGTGCATAAACAACAAGAAACACACTCCGCAGTGTATCAGAAGCCCTGCGGTGTTGCATCTGTCAATAAGTGTTTTTTTAATTAAATTGTTTGTGTGTGAGATCTATTTTATAAGTTAGGGAAGTGTTCTTTTTATTTCAATGTCTAAATTTATAATTATATGCAAATTTGATTTAAAATACCTAGACTATACCCAAACTTAACCTATATTTTTAAATAATGACGTAGGTATACTTAAATATTTAATAATATTGTTGAATTATAATTATTATAATAAAAATTAGTATAATAATTATTATTAAATTAATTACAAGTCATTATTTAAAAATATTGTCTAAATTTATAATTATAGGCAAATTTGATTTAAAATATGTAAGTAACAAACAAGTTTAATAAACGAGCGAGTATTTAATAAAAACAAGTCTCTAGTGAAGTTTATAAAACGAGTTGCATACTATACTTTATCTACGACAAACATAAGATATTGTTTTTTAAATTAAAGTCAATCCATATGAGTCAATCTTATTTGTAAAACATTTGACATTTAACATCTGTAGAACGGTTTTAACCTCTCGGCTCGAAAGCCACTGTTGCTAACTTTAGCCCGTGAGTACCCTATTAGCCCGTGAATACCCTATTAAAAATGCCCCATATTGATCCAGATAAGGAAACTAATATGGATTTATATGGTTCTATAGAATCTATATGTCCTATATGGAACGACCTTTGAAATATATATGGTTTAATATGGAATTTCATTTTAAAATGTACAACTTAGGGATTTTTATATGGATTTATCTGGTTTCTTTTTTATGTGTCTTTCCATATAGGTTTCTCTATATGGTTGAATATGGAATTCCATTTTAAAATGTATATATATTTAAACGACAATTGCATATTAAACCATATAGATTCCCCTATATGGTTAAATATGGATCTATATGGTAATAATTTTTTCACACCCAAACCATATTGGGCCAGATAAAGCAATATGAACCTATATGGCAATCCATATAGAAATCACTTTTCTATATGGTTTTCCAGGTATGGAATTCTATCTGGTTCAATAGTGTAATGCCTGTTTCAAATTCCTATATTGAACCAGATAGATTTTTATTTTGTGTTTCTATATGGCATTTTTAATAGGGTAAAACGCCATAGTCCCAGCTTGTCAATGTGGGAGTAGATAATAGGATATTAAAGAACTATATAGGTATAGACATTTTCTCGTAAAAAAAAATTAAATGAAGTCTTATAATGTCATAAGACGTCAATTTATTTTTTCTCACGAAAACAATGGACGAGTACGAGAAAATATCTATATATATATTTATAGTTTTAAAGGCCCCTATGACTTGGAGGCCCGGGGCTGTAGCCCTCTTAGCCCCCCCTTAATCCGGCCCTATATAATATATATATATATATATATATATATATACATGCACGGCTATCAATACGAAGCCCGGTGCATTACACTGGCTAGTCGAAGCCCGGTAATGCGGGACGGGGCGGTTAACTGTATACAGTACATGTACGTTGGTGCATAAACAACAAGAAACACACTCCGCAGTGTATCAGAAGCCCTGCGGTGTTGCCTCTGTCAATAAGTGTTTTTTTAATTAAATTGTTTGTGTGTGAGATCTATTTTATAAGTTAGGGAAGTGTTCTTTTTATTTCAATGTCTAAATTTATAATTATATGCAAATTTGATTTAAAATACCTAGACTTTACCCAAACTTAACCTATATTTTTAAATAATGACGTAGGTATACTTAAATATTTAATAATATTGTTGAATTATAATTATTATAATAAAAATTAGTATAATAATTATTATTAAATTAATTACAAGTCATTATTTAAAAATATTGTCTAAATTTATAATTATAGGCAAATTTGATTTAAAATACCTAGACGATACTTAAACTTAACAATATTCTTAAATAATGACGTAGGTATACTTAAATATTTAATAATATTGTTGAATTATAATTATTATAATAATAATTATCGTTAAATTATAATAATTTAAAAGTATTGTTGAATTTAGGTACCTATATAAACATTTCATTTATTTTGTTTATAAATCATAATTTTGAAAAGGTTTAAATATCTTATACAGGGTGCTCTACAAGCTCTATGGCAAACTTTGTCAGATGATAGCTGGGTTAATTATAAACATTTTTTCTTAAATGACATGGATGCGATTCGTTTTTGTTTAAAAGTTAAGCCTTTAAAAAATATATTTCCATATGTTAATAAAAAATATACAAATATATCAATAATTATAATTATTATAAGAATTATTGTTGAGGTTAGGTAATTTTGTGTAAAACTTAAATGGGAATCAAAACAAGTTAAACTGACTGAATATTTTTTTCATGAATTATAAAGTCATCTAGTTTTTTTTAAATTATTAGATTTAAATACACTAAAAACTCTAAAAAATCAAAATAATGACGTATACTTTAATACACTGTCTGACAAAATTATCGCATAATAAATATAAAAAAATTAACTCTAAAACGCCTTTACCAATCTTTATGAAATTTTGGATAAAAATACTTCAACTTATATCTCAATTTACGTGTTAGAGGGTTTTTCGAGAAAATATGTTTAAAGCCTTTTTATTTAATAATGAAAAAAAGTTCGAAATATAACTTTTAGGGAATTTTTTTAAATAAATAAAAAATATGCTGTCATCAATCAAACGAACATTAATGAAGATACAGCGCTTCAAAGTCGGTTAAAATGACGCCTTTTCATTTTTCACGACTTTGAAGCGCTTTGTCTTCGTTACTGTTCGCTTGATTTGTACAAAATTTTCAGGGTAAAAAAAAATACGCTCTTTAACAGCATATTTTTTATTTATTTAAAAAAAAATCCCT